ATTCAGATAGCAGCTACTCAATGAACAAATCTATCAAAATTTAACTACAGTAACAATATTGGTCTAAATCTACATATCAGAAAAAAAAATACTGAAATCACAGCACGCTTAACTAGTTCCTCTTGCAGATACTACACACAAAGGAGTTTTAAGATAAACAATAACAAACAACCGACCAGCTTCAACTTTTAACTTAAATTCTGCACTTTTTTGGGAATAGGTGATTTCATAACTTTAAGTGGCAATATCGTTTAGCCTACCGAAGAGTGAAGATTGTGCATATGAGAAAGCAAGTCCTTTATAATACGGGCTTCCCAATTTTTCATATACCTGGTTTTGAAGCCAAGAAAACTGCGTTGTAACATTTCAGACCAAATTTGTTAGCGTTTGACCCTGCTTTAACAATGGAGAGTTTTACTTTTACTTTACAAAGGTTCAGACCTTTGCACTCGCGTCACTAAGCGGGATATGTAGCCGAACATTTTAAATTTTCTACCCGTCTGCGAATTAAAGGGCCAATACCTAAATCGTAAAAAAATATAGGATATGCAGCAGACTTTTAGATCCGGGTTGATTAACAACTGAAAATAAAAAAGGTGTATGCTTCTTTGCGGCTGTCAAAACCGAAGAAATAACGCCAAAAATAATTGAAAATAGTTAATAAGGAAACACTTTTACATCGCCCAACAACAAACCCGAATGATGGTCTTGAAAAGCATTTACAAAATGCGTACCTGATATATGTATTTGGCGAGCTTTTAATAAGGTTTCCAAATTGATTCTTCCGGTCTCCTTGAATCTATATGGAATGTTTAAATCAGAATTAGGAAAAATGCGGACAAAAGGTAATAAATATTTAAGACAAGTTAAGTACTGAAAATCAAATCAAATATTTGATAGCAGGACGAAACAAGTAGCATATGTTGATGTACGTTAGCAATTAATTTCAAAACTGCTTCTTTCTATTGATATGATTTCTTCAAAGTCTTGCAACAAAACAAATATTTATTTGGTGTCTTTTTTACTTTTTGATTGGGCAAAATGGTGATATAGAAAAGTGTGTTTTTCAACAAAAAACTGTGTGCAGATTAGTTGTTTGTTTTTTTTTAAACCGCTTTCCTACAGACGGCGTCGTTTCAAGTTTCGGCATTCAAGGCATCGGCAGCCACATATAAATTTTATATGAATGACCAATCAATAATAGCATGTTTGATAAAAAACGTATTAATTAATCAATGTGTTAATGGAAGAGACTATTTCGAATTGGTACCTCTTCAAATATATTCGGGGTAAATACATCCAAAACGTTTTTGTTATCAACCATTTGATCACTTGCCAAACATTAACGTATATATTTCAACACTCATTAAATTTATGTATTTATTGATTTCGTATAATTTATTTCTCTTTCTAACCCTAAAATATAACATTATCATAAATTGTACTTGTACTTTGCCTCTATAGAAACATTTTTTAGCAAATAATATTACAATACATAAACCTTTTGAAATTTGGCTCAATTACTATTTTATGCATTGCAATACATTAACCTTTTTGCTTCCAAAGAATTATTACGGCATTTTAATCGTCTTGCATATTATAAATCATATATTAACTGTTTGAAAAACCGTAGTGCAAAAGCCGTGCTTGATTGTGTGAACGAATAAAAATGTTTTGCTAAATGACCCAGTTTAGACGATACAAACCAATGCAATAAGTTACAACAGATCTCATAATCCACCGTTCACTGATTACAAGCTGGCAGAAAGCCACGAAATCCGATTTAAAACACCTGGAACACGATATCAATTAGGCAGTCCATTTCAAGATTTTAAATTACAACCACAAACTGAATGTTATTCTACAAAATTGCTGTTGCCGATTTGAACACAGGATTTTTAATTTATTAGAAGATAAACGACTATCACTAACTAATTAATGAGTAATATTTTTAAGTATTTGCAAGTATAAGTTTTGGGTAAAACTGAGGAATTATCAGAGAAAATTGCACTTTACAACGGTGTTTTTCAATTTAAGGAACTATAAAGAAAAATGTAAGGTTTGCTCAACGGTTAGTCTTTGTGTAATCCCGAAAATGTCCAGTTTGCTTTCTATAAAAATTCATGTCCTTAACTTTAAAACCTTGTTGAACACTGGTTTTTTATGGAAGATTTTCTCGACCATCCAATGGCATTTCCCTCTTTGGGTCCAATGTACTAAAAGCCATTGGGCCCAGTTATGAAACCCTTGATACTTAAATATGCATTATTGAAAAACAAAGGCCACTATGTGAAACCCTTTTACCGGTTAAACTTTGACAACATTGATAGTATTCATATGCAAATCCGTAATTCCACACATACCCCAATTTAACTTACGTCAGTCAATAAATGTCGACGGCCATATTCCAGTAAAACATTTGTCAGGATCCCTATTGTTTTTATTCAAATTACTTTGCGGTGCTTGTGATAGAGCGAAGGGTCCGCTTCAGGGTCAACATAGGGCATAGAGTCGAAACAGTTAGCAGCGGATTAGCTGTTCGGGTCGAAATGCTTAATAACTCAAACGCATTGACTTAATGCAACTTTGGGTCGATGGCTGATGATGATGATGAATGTTCAATGTTCTGGCTAGTGGCGATTAACAAAAATTGTCAGACTTTTTTAAATAATGTCTCAGTGTAGTTAGTGACAGAATTCTTCAAACAACTTAGGGAGTTTCTCCAAAGGCACTTAAAAAATCCCTTATACCTATTTACTATCTTATAGATATTTACATGTGGGAACTTATTGGCTAACTAAAATAATTTATAGCTGGCATTCGATAAAAATGCCAGTTTAAAGTAATCAAAAACGTTACATAACGTAAACTATAAAGTTGAATGAATTTAGAATGTGGAAGCCAGTCGCGATTTTTTTTTAGATCTATTAGATAGACAGAAGCAAACTGCTAGCACAGAGACAATTAAAAGTACTAAAACAGAGAAACACCACCCTGAATTAAACATTTTTCATAACCACCAACAACTATTATTAATTGAAAATATATTGTTGACATTGGTGGACTGATTTTTAGCCTATGCAAAACTCATTAACAAATATCGTATCATTATTTTTTTAGAAAACACAGTCAAAATATAAGAAATTAAATATGAATAATCACGCTTTGAAAAGTTGTGCATATCTCGCTTTTTGATACCCGATGTCTCAAAAGCAGTTAGTCTGACAACTTACCAACACGTATATATTTTTTTCTGTCTGTTTGTGGTGCAATTCCAAACCATTCATAAAAAAATCACTATGCATATTTTAGATATTTAAATATATAAAATTAAATTGGTAATGTTTGTCGATAATTTCCAAAGTGTTTCTTCGGCGGATTGTATGAAGTAATTATCATTCACCTATTTATTTCAGTATTCATCATAATTTTTTTGCAGTGGTATAGGAGATTGTTCAATGATTCCGAACATTTTTTTAGAGCTTTTGTTGCCCAATAATGCAATGTTTTACTGTTTGTTAGAAAACTCGTACCAAATCAGCCCTACAAAATCCATATCATAGCACATACACACGAAACATCGGTTTTCCTCTGGAATGCCGAAACTTAGCCCATTGTTTTTTTGCTGTTTAATGCGCCTCTTAACCCGTTTACTGAAGAGATGCTGTGACTTCGTGTACAAAGCAACCATTATACCTACTATATATGTTTGAGTGCACACATCTTAAGCATATTTTTCTTTGTTAAGAATTACTTTATGAAAAAAAAACGGGTAGTGTAGCGAACCTTTATCCAAGTGTATGTTTTTAAAACAGGTGCTATCAGCTAAAGAATTGTTTGTATTATTGTTCTCTAACAGAAGCCTTACAACTTGTTTTGAGTTACAGTTGCATAGATTCGCATCTAAAAAAATAAAGTCACTTACGGAATGTGCAAAAAAACGTGCCAGGCGAAAGGTAAAATAAATGTACAGTGAATGGAATTCATGCAACCATTTAAAAGTTATGCAATTACAGAACCCCAGACAGAATTAAAGGTAAACGACATCCTTTAATATCATAGTGCAATCACATAACGCAACAAACAAAAGCATAAATCCGGGCTGAGCATAAGGCAAAGCGAAATTCTTTCTTTGTGAAGCGTATAATTCATCCGGTTGTAATTTATAACCTTTTTAAGATGTCTGAGTCATAATTGGCGAATGCCAAGTGCAGAATTTACAGTGCAAAGAAAACCGGGCAATAATAAGCATAACGGTAGAATTCCTAAATGAAATAAGCGCACCGTTTACGAAGAGCGAGCATATTAAACGAAACAAAATTGTACTTAAATATCAAAGGAATTTGTGTAATGCGTTTGAAACTGAAGCTAATTGCCAATTGCAAAGGTGGGAAAAGGCTGGAACACCAACAAAGGCATTCGGAACTTTAACTTCTCTTAATGGGTTCAAAATCAAATAAGCAAATGTTGCTGCCAGAGGCATGAAATGCATTTAAAACTCATGTTCATGGTGCTATTTAATAAACACCAAGCTCTTAATTGAATGAAACAAATCTCTAAACCAATTTTTATTCTTAACATCGCGTAAAACTGGCATAATCGTTCCTCTCAAGGAAAATACCGAAATCTGGCACAGGACTTTAATGCGTCTATTTAACCACCAATTTCATTTTTGGCATTCCCTTTGAATGCAGAAACTCTAGTAGGAGTAATGGCTATTTTGGAATCATTAGGAGTTCCAGCCAAGTGCACAACCAACTTTAATGTTTGTGGGCTTCAAACGGATGTTATGTAAGGATCGTCCACTTTCGGATTCTTCAAAATGTTTTCCAAGGTTTTGGAAAATTCTAGACATAGTATGTAGATGTATAGTCCCTCGTGCGGTCTTCTGATAGATTATTTCTTAATATAAGTAATAAAATTGGATATTTTGCATATTTACACCGCTAAAATGTTGCTTTTTAATATATTTCGTTACTAAATTTTTCTTTTCTTTTCAGATCCTAATTGCAGTTGAGAATATTTCGTTTAAGGTGAGTAGTTACTGATTTAATAAATGCTGCTATTTATTTCCTTTATTTATGTCTATTTATTTTCATAGACAAAAAAATCTGTAATTTGATGATTTATAACAATTAAAAATTTAAATTCCTGTTTACATACAGTTTGAAACGCAGAAAGTATTACTTCCTTTAATTTAAATAAAATAAATAATAGTAATAAAGTTTAATTTGAAAAAATAATTATAAAATCATTAAATCTCCATTCATGAATAACGCATTGAGTTCAGTACATTTTAGCATTAATACCTGACATAATTCGCATTAATTTTCTCGACTTTTTGCCTATCCGATGTTATTTGCTTTGAAGCGCTTCATCTCCGCTGAGAATATAATTCAGAATAAAACTGGAGGAAAAAATCCTGGAAAACGAGCTAAAGTAGCGCAGTTTTTTGGTCCTTTAAAAGGTTTTGAATGTATATGAAATTAGGTAAACAAATTTGCATTTAAAAGAATATAAGTAATGGACTGTGCACAAACACCGGAATAATAAAGGTTTTAATGTATTCGGTCGGATTTTTAAAAGAATTAAATTTTTGACTTTGTAGGTTTTATACGTTTTGAGCTTTAATCTGCATTCGTCTGATATTACGGAAATATAAGCGAAATATTTATTTAAAAAACGCGTTTAAACCGAAATCCTCTAATGGAGTTAGCATTGAAATATGATAAATTTAATTTATTTTATTCCTTAGCAGATTCTCTACACTTATTACGCTCAGGCAACTTTTAAACTTTAACTTAATGGAAATAATTGTTGATATCTGAATAGCATAATTCACACGTTAAACTTTGCATTTGCAAAAAAATGTTATTTATTTCATAATAGTCTAGGACCGTTAATATAACGCTAATAATTACTAAAAGAGGCTTATTAGTAATTGAAATTGCTACAACGTCCTAAAGTCCTCAATTATAAACTTGAGTGTGGCATTGGAGCTTAAAAAGGATGTTGGCCTCTTGTCCTCTGATGTAATTAATAATAATTGAAGTACAAGCTGCTTAGTTTAAACTCTCGGCTTGCCTCCGATTTCTAAGAGCTTGATCCGCGAAAATTGCAATGATAGGAGTCAAAATCCATAAAAACGTTAATAAGTTTTAGGGATATGAATTTAAAGAGTTGACAAGTTTAGTCTTTTTTAATTAATAAATGTAAATTGGCAATAGTCTTAAGGTCATATTGATATTTGCAAAAGGTGTGCGGATTATTTTCGAGTTTTGTTAACAGTCGACATATTTGCGTTCTCAATCAAAAAGATGTCTTGACTTTTGGAAGGATCTACTTAGAAAAATATGACAATTCTCTTTTTGTCTCAATTAAATATATATGCATATATGTATATATAAATTAAAAATTAAGAAATTTAAAATGCAATTTTACAAATGTCTTAGTTGGGCATTATCTCCCCCATAATTATGCTTCTTTGCTTTTATTTAAAACTCCTGACAAATTACGAAAGTTGATGTTTCCTTTTATTTAATTAAACATCGTAAAAACATATTAAGTGATACAGATGGCACTTTGAACTTGTTTACCGTTAAAATCTCTTCTAGAAACGTTCAATTGCCAGCACAATGCGGAATCACTTCGAAGCACTGGAAAATCCTTTTTTACGTTTGTTGGAAATTTGTTTATAAAATTGACAGATAATGTAACTTTAAACTTATTGTGATGCCATACAATATGAAATAAAACCCTATGAGTTTGATTTTATCTACCTAAATATTTGGCAAAAAATAGTAGATATGAAAATACCTCTGAAAAAATTATGTCGAAAGAAACATTAATCGACGGTGTTTTCTTTCTGTCTTCTCCAAGACCAATTTTCATTAAGGAGTGTTTTTTAAGATTAAAAATTTTATTAAATCCCCCAAAGCCAAATTACATAAGCTGCTCGCAAGGAGATGATGCACGGCGAATTTACATTTTAAGAGACCTAATATCTAGGTTATTTCCATGAAGGTTATTCCTCCAGAGATTAGCCAAGGGATGTGGGTATAAGAATAATGGGAATTATAATTCCTCGGGAATATGCTATTAGTAAAAATGGTTGTGGCTCAAATCTGGAGTAATGAAGCAAATAACCCTTAGGTAAATGCGCATTTCACCCGGCAGAACCCCATTTTAATTAATTCGATATGTCGCAAAGAACATCAAGTCTAAATTAGAATAGTTTGTTACAAAAGATATAGTTTTAAATACGCACTAACTAATAATGCTGCAGTGTTATCTGGAAATTCGCAAAGTATCTTAAGGGAAACGCCATTTTCAAATATCGTAGCCAATTTGGCTGACGAGATAGTGGACTAAAATGTCAACAATAGAGTTTAAGTGTTTTTTTAACTTACATGCATTTTAGATTATTTATTGCTATTTTTACTCCATTCTTATATGTAGACAAACAGTCAAGTCGTGATCTAATACCAATATTAGTAATGCGAAGCAGTCTCATTATATTGGCAGTCCAAGGATTAAAAACATTTGTATTGACCTGTTCTCATCATATAAGCCCTGATATAATAAACTTTATTACACGTCGTTTCGTTTGCATGCGCGGTACACATCGTCTAAAGAGTTGACCACTGTTTTTTGGGTTCCATAAGATGCAAGAAGCAGAAAGACTTAAAATGAACTAAGTCTCTTTGTCTCTGATTTTCTTAAGCAAAACCCAAAAGTTATATAACAAATACTTAAATTTACTTGATGATTGGCATTGAAAAACTCCGGAACGCACAACGTAATGCCGAACATTGTCCACAATTTCTGCAACTCGGACCATCCAACTTGCGGAAAAAATATACAAGTATATAAATCATATAATGTGAAGGTATTTTATTTGAGTTTAAACCTTTATTTAAGTCAATAATTTGTGTTCAATCGTATGTAGATAATGCGGCCAATTACCCGCAATTCTAGGAAATGTTATTCACTTTTCAATAACAATTCGTTTAATAACTAGTTCGATGAAAAATAATTCGAGCAATTTAACCCTTTGAACATACTATGCTGTGAACACATTTGCAAAGGTTTGGAAGTGGTAATCAAATCGAGGAAACTGCTCAATAACATAAACCGGCATTAAAAAGCGTTCAGTAAAATCGGAAAATGATGGAACTGGAATGAATTTTAAAATCGGCAGATTTATTACCATATTTTGCTTTAATGGCAAGTAAGCAACACATCGTGCGTTAAACTAAATTTACTAATATTCTCTTGACGAAAAAATTTACTTATTTTTCCCCACAACACACTCAAAAAGTGTTACTTACTTCGGATTACATTCTGAACTGATTCGCAATTATATTAGTCAAGTCGCCCAAGTCACTGTTAACATCATTATTTCTAAAATATCCTCCCAGGTTTCTTTCAAAGGTGTCATTGTTACATAATATCACCTTCAGATGCATTTCGCTTTGTTATACCGATGCGTAGATATATACCATCATTTGATAAATGTATGAACTGTTTCATTTCTGTTCATTCATGTGTTAGATGCGATAATATCGTTAATATCCGGTAACATTATGTGTATGTATAAATATAAACTTCTGCTCCAAATAAAATGTATTGAATTTTGGTTATTAATAGCCAACATCATTTAGAAGAACGTATATAAAATTTTTTCACACAGAAAGTCCGTATCTAAAAATTAATATATTGAAAGTAATTAATAAATTATCTGATCCCTTCCAAGAAAGGCCAAAAAATATTTAGCGAGAAATGTATTTAAGGCAAAGCGCAGATTAAAGAACTAAAAATTAAACTTAAAGAAAAAATTCGTAATAATTAATAAGAAATGCTAGGAAATGTTTTTTATACGGACAGGCATGGAACTGAGTCGCATTTATATACGAACCACAAAATAGCTGTTATAGTATTTGCATTTTATTATTGCACTAAAAGAAATGCTTAATAATGGGATTGAGTAATTAATATTATCCATCAAAAATAATTTTAGGCACGCCTATAGAGCCATAAAATAACGTTCACAAATATTTTGACTCGTCAGAAGCTAGTCTGTCGAAATTAAAAGCTTCATTTTGAAGGCATCCTAATACCCTATAATTAATTCAAAAGTTTAATATCAATATTTCAAATTTGACGCTTCTACGCTTTTCATATTAATAAGCTAAAGTTGCGCCTAGAGATTAATAGCCATCTTTTAATTAATTCAATTTTAATAATGCATTAGCTCTTTTTCTTCCCTTGCGCTTTTTAATCAAGCTGTAAATGTTTCAGTCTTTATATTATTCATTAAGTTATTGGGTTATTACCGATCAAAAGAATAGCGCGTATCGAATAGTAAGTACCTCTAAGTGAGAAATTTGTATTTTATTTATTAATAACCGATTGATTTCAAAACTAATGTACATTTTTTAATTTAACTCCCATGTATTGCTGATACAAGGTGCTTCAAAATTGGCGGCATTCCTTTTAAGGGGTGATAGAGGCTCCCTTGGGGAGTACGAGAAAAATATTGATTTCTAGAAGATATTAACAGTTGAAAGTCGAATTTCAACTTTGTTATTAAGCATTATTTTGAAATTGTTCCATGTTTAATTGGTAGCATATTGGAATAATTCAGCATTCAAAAAGAAAAATTACGATCTTTGCTTCAAATTACGAAAATTTTTGATATCAAAAAAGTTCTCTTCTACAAGTTTTTGATGAAAAGGCACAGCGGCAATGATGTTTTTTGTCATTAACAGATAGTTACAGGTGGATAGCCCTTGTCAA